GCTCGTGAGAAGAGTCCCTGAAGAGAGACAGGGAAGGGGGATGGGAGGGATGAGAATTGGAGGAAGTATTCCTTTTTTACCGTGCTGAGCACCCAACGGTCCGATGTAATATGGGCCCATGCAGGGTAGAAAGGGGATAGTCGGCACAAGAAGGTAAGGTGGGGAGGATCCAGTGTTCGTACTGGTGCACCATCCTCGAGCACGCCTTCAAAAGACCTGTTTTTGGCCTGAGGATGGCTTCGACTGGCCAGAGCCCTGGCCTGAAGAAGGGTTAGGTCTCTTTCTGGAGTTTCTGTTCCTCTGCCAGGAGCCAAAACCAAGGCGGAGGTTGCGGCCTAGCGGTCCTTGAGATGACTCTCTCCCAGACACTTCAAACACAAAGTGTGTGGGTCACTCTTGAGCATAGACTTGCCACAGTCCTCACAGCCTTTAAAACCCGGGGACCCCGGCATGCCCTGGTTCCGGGAGAGAACGGGGGAGAGGTGGTACCCCGAACTAAACCTATAGACAACAAATTAATACTAACTGCTAACTATATGCAGAACAGGAAAAAGTTCACTGCTAAAAGTGGGGAAGCTTGCCGAAGCAAGAGAATGAATGTTCCAGCTAACCGTCACTGGCAGTAAGACAGAACTAAGGGGGTGGTGGGTCGGCAGGGCTTTTTATTGAGCGCCATGACAGCATGACCCCATGAAGTGCCCAGGCCAACCCGACAAATACTGCTAGGGGAAAAGTTTTCTGGCTGCCGTGCATGCAGCACACACACACCTGATTGGAATTGACATGAGCAAGCACTCAAAGAAAAACTCTGTTGCTTAGGAATTCACCAACTCCTGCTACATATTCCTCCCCTGAAGTTGTAAGGTTCTGTTGGTGACAACACAGTTGGTGCTGTGGGGAGGACTGTGATACCATTAACTAAAAATAATGACACCAGGTGAGGAATAAGCAACATCATTTGAACTGGAAGAGCCTCACTCTATTCTTCTGCACTTCAACAGAATAACAGTGTAGCAGGGTTCATAACAACCCCATACAGATGCAGGGACTGTGTTGACCCATCTTGATAGTAGGAAACAGAAACCTGCATTAAGGTGCCGGGTACCTTCTGCTGACTTATTGTGGCAGATACAGCTTGTTACTTCCAGCAGCATAGAGAGGTGGGAACAAATCTCTGGTCAGAGAGAATTAGCGGCAGAGACACGAAGGTCCTGCAGGAAACCCTAGGAACAGCCTTGCTTAGGGAGAAACCTCATGCTGAGTGTTATGTTCTGATCATGTGATTATTTGCATTACCAATGAAGTCAAACTCCAAGCAGGAGTCAGGTCTAGTGGGCGGAGCAGGCATCCAGGTTGAGGAATGAAGCTAAGGGTCAGCACCATAATCAACTGCTAGTTACCAGAGCCAGGGGTCAAGCCAGAGACCGAACCGGGAATCGAAGCTGAGGATCAGAGCAGAGGTCAGATGTCAAATACCAAAGCCAAGGGTCAAGCCAGAGTCAGAGCCAGGACTGGTAACTGAGGCAGGAGGACAGGCAAGGATCAAGCACAGAGCAGAAGCACGTTGGAAACAGGGGCAAAGGCAGGAGCAGAACAGGAATCAGGAATAGGGTTGGATGTAGGAATCACGGTCCAATACAGCCACAATCAGAAGCCACCTTGTTGCAGCCTCAGACAAACTTCCTGTTCCTCCTTCTGGTTTAAATAGTGTAGTTGGACCAATCAGTGGAGCTGGGCAATCCTCCAATCAGAGCTCCTGTGGGTGGTGCCTTATCGGGGCTATCATCCTGGTAGCTTCTTAGCCCAGATGCTTTCAGTAGCCACTGGGTAGAGGCCAGGATGGGACAGCTGTCAAAACTTAGGACATCACCCATAAAACGTTTAGCATCTATCAGCTCTTTTAATGGTGATGAGACAGACCAAAGATATTAAACCCCCAAAGTGGTGGTGTCAGATTTATTAAAGCACACATTTCCAATTCTAGACCTGATATGTTGTTGGATTGTGGGGGTCTGTAGTCAGCATCTTAATTGTACAAAACAACTAAAGCAATATGTGTCTGAATTTTAAAGTACTGATTTAGTTTTGAACCCCATTTTAGATTAGAAATATTTAAACAAGATATCAATAAATATATTTAACTATCTTGAAACAAAATAAACTTGATGTCTTGAATATGTTTTCTCTTTTTACTGGATAGTTAATGATATGGATATTACAGAAAGTGTGTTTGGCATTCCTTTTTAATATGAGTGCTATAAGATGAGGAGTATAATTGCACTGGTGCATATTACATTGGTTTCAAGTGTCTTTTCCATCATACAGAATATTTTATCAAGTAAATGAGTTCTTACTATAGGTGTCAATTCTGGGTTGCACTGTTGCCGTTGAAATTTGGATATAATGTGACATTTCTACAATCAGCTTTATACTTAACGGGAGGAAGGAGAGAAGCAATAATTCAAGGATGATGAAAGGGAGATATCGAAGGTCTAACCATTCCTTCATCCTCAGTCTTACCTGCTGATGGCCTGCTCTTGCCTCCCAGCTCTTCAAGGGAAGGTTGGCTCCTCCTCCACCATTTTTGCAGGGGGAAAGACAAGGAAGGACCACCATGCCCTAGGTGGTATTTCAGGGTCTGGATAACTTGTCTTTCCCAGTTCTCAATCTTCAGCACTGAAACTCAGAAATGTTTCTCTGGGTCCTGCTATGGCCCCTTTAACTTTAAAGCATGCAGAGGCTCAGATGGCCTTGCATGCACAGTGCTATTTACACATTTCCATTCCAACACAAGGGAGACTTAAGAAAAACATCTTTACAAACAAGGGAAGGGATTACCAAACGCAGCAATAAAACCCACAAATATGAAACCAGCAAAGCATTAGACAATAACTTAATGAGGAACAATTACATGTGGTACAAAAAACAAACAAAAAGGTGGGTGAATTTAGATATGCCATCTGGCCACTTTCCATTTTGAACTACTACTGCTGTAGTTTTCTTTCGTAACAACTTACACGTTTCAATAAATCTGGTAAGAACATTAGTGCTGACAGTCTTCTGTGTTATGTATCTGTGCTGTACCTTACATAATCTGAGTTTTGATTAGCATTCTTAGGTGCTAGTGTAACACCAACAGACCCTGGTCATGAGCAGGTGGAATTGAACCTGGCTCCTCTGGAGCTAAATGCATAAGCCTCTACTGCATGAGTGAAAAGCCACATGGCCCTTAGCTAAAGCTATAGCAGACTCATTAATCTCTAAGTGGTCTCAATGCCACTAGAGGGGACAGAACACCACACCCAGGAGGTATGTGGGTTACACTATCATAATAATAACACATTTATGAAAACATTCAGGAGCTTCACAGAACAGTTTAAGGGTATTTTCAGCAGTATGTTTCACTTCATATTAAAGTAGGCATTGTTGACATAGAAATAGTGTTCAGAATTAAAGCAAAAATGTGCTGTCTCTAAATCTTTCCTCTGCTTCACATCAAACAGGGGTTTCTATTGAACTGCCCTATTCATCAATGCAGATTGACTAGAAGCTTCTCACACAGACTTCTTGAACATACAATCCGGATACCACAGCACTATTGGCGGGGGTGGGGAGGGAGGCTCCCTATTCCCTGTGCTGAGCTCTGAGGTTGGGATGAAGGTTTTAGGGCTCCCCATGGATGATTTAGAAGCTATAACGTTCACCCTGAGCCTGGTGGGGAAGCAGAAGTATCAGCTGGGAAGGGATGAGGAGACATCTGAGCCTGTAGCCTTTCTGAGCCAGATCATCTTAATGAAGAGGCCAGCCTTGGACTGAGAAATAGGGAAGGGGAGGACGAGCAATAGATTAGAGTTGCTACCCCCAGTTCTGAGACTTCAGAGGTATAAATATAGTTATTCAGAACTACTAGAAGAGGGGAAAGAATCTCCTCCCAGATTCTCCTGTCTTCTTTTAGCTGTTGCTTTAAAACCCTCGGGCAACACTTCCTTGATCCAGGTTCCCTGCCTCTGGAGGGTCTGGGTCCTTTTCCTGGTGACCTTCTTCTTCCCTGAATTTTACAATCTCCCTGAATTCCTCCAGATCCTGCTCCAGGATAGCTGGGTACATGAGGGTCTGTGAGACCACCAACCCCTACTATCCGGACGTGCCCCATTATCTCAAATTCTACGCCCCTCACGGGATACAGGCGCACATCACCCTGGACGAGGGGTAAATCATATCCACAACATCTCCCTTGCCTACCAGCTGTCTCCGACCATGGTCCAGCTGCACCCTGATTCAATTAGCATTGTCATGGACACTCTATTGACCCACACCAGGATGGTCTATTTGGCAGTTCCTTTCTTCCTGACCTCACTGAAAGCCACATCCCGCTATAGGAGGCAGGACAGCAGCCTTCCTCACAGCAGGGGACAAATCCACATTAGTAGGGGAGGGATAGAAACTACACTAGATATATGGGCCAAAGCTAGGGAAGCACAGAGCATCCGAAATCAGAGAGAAGCCTGGGCTTAGGGCTTACATTGGCGACTATGGTGTGGAGCAGAACTCGTCACTCAGACTCATGTAGTCTAAAGCAGTGTTTCTCAACCTTTTTGATACCAGGGACTGGCTTGCTGCTTTCCTAAACTGTGTCAGAAAGGTCTCAGGGACTGGCACCAGTCCATGGACTGGTCATTGAGCAATGCTGGTCTAGAGAGACCTACCTGGGCGAGGCGCTCTCAGGCTGGCTGTGCAGGCTGAAAAGTGTTGCAGAGAGACACGTCTGAGCCTTAGGATCAGCATTCATTCACTGAGTAAAAGGAAAATACATGAGAAGAGAAACGGTATTTGTGGTTAGTTTGTTGTTCATTTTGCAATTATATCTGTGTTATGTGTTGAAAGTTATTTAGCAAAATATGTTAATTTGTTTAGCTTGTTTGTATGTCTCACACACACTGTTAAATTCAGAATATATCCCGAGCAAACAATTTATTAACATATTTATGACTTTCCTGCAGGTATGAATTAGGAGCAGCTTTATTCATTGGATGGGCTGGAGCATCACTTTGCATAATTGGTGGCAGTATATTCTGCTTCTCAATAGCTGGAAACAGTAAATCCCCAAGGTACAGAACCTAAGTGGTTGCACTTATTTTATTGAAATAAATCAATATATTAGCAAATTTGTGATTATTAAACATATAGAAAGGTAAGCTATACAGCTGGAGTTTGATTATGCCTCCAAAACAATTCTACAACCAGCTTTTGAAAAGAATTGTGTGAAAAAAAGAAAATAATAGAATTTAAAGTTAATGTTTTTCTTTTTAAGAAGTCATAACCAGCATTCAGGAAAACCATTGTTTCAGATTGCATGTACTTATAAAGTTGCTACCATGTGTCACAAACTGATAGAAAAGCAATCAGTTGCATAGTATAGCCAACATACCATATGGGTATTCTGAACAGATACATGTTGCCCCTTCATAACGGAAGTAATCCTAAATTGCTTGACTGTTAGACAATGTACACCAGGGGTTGGCAACCTTCGGCACGCAGCCCATCAGGGTAATCCGCTGGCAGGCTGCAAGACATTTTCCGGACGTTGACTGTCTGCAGGCATGGGCCCCCGGCAGCTCCCACTGGCCACAGTTCGCTGTTCCTGAACAATGGGAGCTGCGGGAAGCGGTCCATCGTGCCTGCGGAAAGTCAATGTCAGGAAAATGGCTCGCAGCCCGCAATCAGATTACCCTGATGGGCTGCATGCCGAAGGTTGCCGACCCCTGATGTACACATTAATAGGGAGGTAGACTGAAGAAGAGGAAGATGATGGAGGGGAACTATGAAAGGTAGTAGATTAGATGGAAACAGAAGAGATTTAAGTTAGGGAGCAGGAGTCTCTGCTGCCCTAAACAGAATGTTTTAATGCATAGCCACTGAGGTGTTGGTCTTGTTTGATCTTGCTCTACTGGTGAGAGGTGGCAAAGTGAAATTGATAATAGGTCTGTTTTTTGCTGGGAGAAAGCACACATTTTTTCCTAGTTTGAATATTTTTTTACACACAAACATATAACTGTTACCTGTTCATAGAATGAGCTGTAAATGGATATTTTTTTGTCTTTCAGAATGGGGTACACATACAATGGAGCCACATCTGTGATGTCTTCTAGGACAAAGGTCCACAATAGTGCAGCAGATTTTAAATCACCAAAAGGCCCTCCAAAGCACTTTGACAAGAATGCTTATGTTTAATTGTACTGTTCTAAGATACAAAGCCAGTTTTCAAATCAGTTTGTACAGTTCATTCACAGAGTGATTTCCAGATGAGTACCAGCATAATCACCACCAGGACAATGAATTTTTAAAATATTAACTTGCAGCATTTTACATATTGATGTAAATTTTCTTATACAATATTTTAAGATTTATGTTGGTGTTATATATAAATTATGTATCTGTAAATCACTTGCTGTTTTTGCTTTCTACAAAAAATAAATAGGATATTTACAGATAACAGTATGTCACCTACTTTATTTGTATGATATCAAATGCACAGTATCTAATGCAGTACATCACAGCAGCAGTATAGGAGCAGGTTCCAAAATAGGTTTAGTATTTGGAGCCAGAAGTCAAGTTTTGTGCAGCTCCCTATGTGAAATTTTTCACCAGTGAGAAACAGTCACTTAGAGCCTGATTTTTAGAAGTGCTAAGCACCTTGCAAGTCCAGTTGAAGTCAACAGGGGCTGAGGTGATCAGCAGCTCTGAAAATCAGGTCCTTATTTCTCCCTTAGGGTGCCAGTGAACAGAGGAACAGGTGTGGAGGGAGGCAAGAGCCAATCATTCACATCCCACAGAAGTAAGAGAGGGAAACAGGTAGAGCAAGAGTTTAGGGGCTGGGGGAACCAGGGCTGACTAGGGAGCCTAGAGAAGAGAGCTGTGTCCAGGATATTGGAGGGAGTCGAGGCAGACTGTGGGAGAGGGGTGTGTTGAGTTTAAGGCAACTTGAAAGGAAATTTTGGGGGGCAGAGTGACAGCACCTGAGATCTTGGGGATTTGGGTGGAGGGCTGGGGCAAGCGCCTCCATTCTGCTTTTCACCACTTCAACTTGTATCCTCTGAGCCTGCCGCCATCCCTCCTCCAGCCTACCACTACCCCACCTGCCCCTCCCTCTGCTTATCTCTGGTCCCCTTTTGTTCCTTACTGCAGCTGCTAGCAAGCCATTTGTTCTGCCAGTTGCTTACCAGGGCCGGCTCTGGCTTTTTCGCCGCCCCAGGCGAAAAAGCCTCCGCCCCCCCCCCGCGGGGGCAGGGCGCCGAGGGGGAGGGCGGCCGGAGCCCTGGGAGGAGGGCGGCGAGCCCCGGTGGGGGCTCGGCTCTCCCCCCCCCCGGCGGCCCGAGC